TCCCTTTATGTAAAGGACTTCAGAATCCATGGATTTTGGTATTAGCAGTGAATCCTGGAACCAATCTCTCATGGGCACCAAAGAATGACTATGATAAAATACTGTGAGAATGTTAGTCAAGAGCCATGAGATTTCAAACCTAGGCACGTGATAGCACATACCACATGCGATCTTGGCTACAAGGAAGGCTGGGGCAAGAAGATCACAGGTTTGAAGCCAACCTGGGCTACACAGTGAGTTCAAAGTCAGTTTGGAGTACATCACAACCAACCACAACTGTGACAGATGTTCTCTGGTAGGCATTACACATGTCGTCCTCAGAACTCTTTGATCCTGATCTTCCCTCTTTCTTTTCAAATCACTGACCAAACAACAAAGGCATTTACCACTGCCAGTGAGGCCGCATTTTATTCTTACCTCCTGGTACTTCTTTTCCATGCAAAGTGAGTGACCAGCTCTACTGCTCAAATCTTTGTCCTGAGGGAGATTTCCTCTTAATGCTGTGCCATGGCCACTCCGGAGGGGGTGGCAGCCAGCAGTATTCTATTTTTAGCTCTCACCCATGTCAACCCATCTGCAAGAGAAATTTGGGCTTCCTGCTCTGCCAGCTGGCCTAAGAAATCCTTCTGAGTAATGGATGGAGCTGAGGTACAGAAGCCAGAATGATACTGGTAAATGGAACAGAACTTTGGACCACTTGCTTTGAAGTTTGCCTGTGTCCTCTGACCCCATCTATGCCTGATCCCAAAGATGCCATTTCATCTCACAGTATGTCTTTTGTTCGCCCCACCATTCCTAATGAATGAGGGGCTGACAAACCCCGTCTTATGGTGGGCAGATCTGGCTACTTGATGTCTCTGCCAGAGCCTGGTGGGATCCCGGGCAGATGGCACTGGATCTGCTCAGAACCTTAGGAGTCCACATTATGATTCTCGTTTCAGAACTTGCCAGAGCACACACAGCATCATTTCCTGCCACAGATATTCCAGTCCCATAGGGTCTGCTGGGTCACATGACCACAGAGGCCTTTTCTCCTTTGTGCCCCTTCACACCTGACAGCCCTCACTGTCACCTGGCAAATGGATCAGTATTGTATTTCCAAGTGTGAAACATACTGTTCTAGAATCCTAAGATGATATGTAGTACTGTTTTTTTGTTTTGTTTTGTTTTTTTGGTGGAACTGGGGATTGACCTCAGGCCCTTGCACTTGCCAGGGAAGCACTTATTCCACTGAGCCATCTCCCCAGCACCTGGTCCTTTACTTTTAAGAGGATATCTAGACCACTGGACCTCTAAACATTTTGTCAATGCAGCAATGTCTTGAACTTTTTTTTTTTTCTAAGAAAGCTTCTCACTAAGTAACCATGCCCTGATCTGAACATTTTTTGCAAGAGTTAAACTTGTTCTATGACAGGGGTCACCTCCCTCATATTGTTTGAGATGGCCTGAATCTCCCCCATTCCCCTAGAATATGGTATTAGAATCAGTACCAGACTTCTAACTGGCCTGCACCACTTAGTTCATGAGTCCAAGAAACCAATGTGAGTTTTCTGAAGCTTCACAGCATATCCATTTCTTTTTTTTTTTTAATTTCCACAACACAAGTAACTTTATTCTTATTTATTTATTTATTTTAAAGTTTATTTATTTATTTGTGTGTGTGTGTGTGTGTGTGTGTGTGGCCTGCTCAGCCCAGCAGGGGGCAGGGCTGGCTGGCATGTGGTGCTGGGGTATTGAACTGCGGTCCCTGTGCTTTGCTAAGCTTGTTCTAAGTAGGTGGTTTAGACCACTGAGCCATCTCACCAGCCCCAACACAAGTAACTTTAAAGATCACTGTGGAACTTCAGAATAAAAGATATCAAAGGATCTATAGAGTTTGTTGTGCGTGTGGGGGGAGGTGG